TCCATACTTTGCCATTCCCTGCCCAGGATAGTATGATCTCCAGCTGTCCCCTTGAGACTAATGCCAAGCCCCAATCCCATACTTAATGTTCTCTTTTGCTTCATTCTCTACCCTTCATTCTGTCTTTCTGTGCAGGATACCTTTAGTACAGTTCAGTCACTCTATCTTTTGAATACACAAATACAGACACACACTCTCACACACACATATCCCACAGGAAACTCATTCTTGCTTTGTCAAACAGTGAGAGTACAAATCACCCCACTGCTACAGTATGTCATCATGGGTTTTCAGAATTCATCAGGGAGAATCATTTTACCATGGGGTAAAGGAGAAGAAAATAAAGTATTCTGCCCTGAACCTACAATTCATAACCTCAGCAACTCCTTTCTGAGTATATATAATAAGATAGAGATAGGTGGACAGATGATCCTAGGACCAAGTTGGCCACTTTTTAGTAAACTCTGAAAGAGGAAGCTATAAATCCTTGGTATTTTAGCTTCTACTTGGGACTTGAGGGATACTGTGAGATTGCAAAAAGGAAAAAAGAAAACACACCTTATTCAGTGTTCTATTTACTAATACAATGAACACAAAATAACTTCTAATTATGGAATTATGACATTATTCATATAAAAATTTCCATACTTTTTCTCCTACTTAACACACTGGTCTTTCTTTTCTTCAGATTCCTCAAACTTATCATTCACACCCTTTGTTCTTGTTGTTCCCTCAGCATGAAACACTCTGCCTCCCAGATCTTCAGATTCTTAAATTTTTCTTTTTATTCAGATATCACTTTCTCATAGGACATTACTAAAGTAGCCTCCCCAGTACCTAGTGGTTATGTTTTAGCACTTAAATTCTTATTTTTTTGACTATTCACCCATCAATACATTCAAGAATATGTCCCACGAGAACAGAGAGCTGCTCTGCCTTTTGTACTTATGTAGACTCAGAATCTAGAATAGGGTCTGGCACTTAGGATATACCCAAGACATATTTGATGAATAAATGAATGAACATTGTAATATGAGCTTTTTCCTCACAAGTTATTGTCATTATATATTTTTATGTAAATATTAATCCTACAACAACAATAAAACAAGCAACCCGATTCAGAAATGAGCAAAGAACTTGAATAGACATTTCTCCAAAGACTATCTACAATGGCCGATAAGCACATGAAAGGATGCTGAACATCACTAATCATTAGGGACTTGCAGATCAAAACTCCAGTGATATACCACTTCATACCCATTAGGAGGTGGTATTATGCATTAAAAAAAAAAATAGATAATAACAAGTACTGGCAAAGAGGTGGCGATATTAGAACACTTGTATATTACTGATGGGAATGTAAAATGGTATACTTCTGTAGAAAACAGTATAACAGTTCCTCAAAAAAATAAACAGAGCATTGCATATGATCTAGTAATTCAACTTATAGGTATATACACAAAAGAATTAAAAGCAGAGACTGAGATATTTGTACATGAATATTCATAGCATTATTTACAATAGCCAAAAAGATAGAAATCATTCAAATGTCCATCCGTGCATAAATGGGTAAACTAACTTATATGTACAGGCAATGGAATATTATTCAACCTTAAAAAAGAATGAAATTCTTATCCATACTGTAATATGGATGAACCTTGAAAACATTATGCCGAATGAAATAAGCTAGACACTAAAGGACAGATATTGTACAATTCCATTTATATGAGGTACCTGGAATAGTAAAATTCATAGAGACAGAAAGTGGAGTAGTGGTTACCAGGGCCTAGGAGAGAGTGTTTAATGGAAGTCAGTGTTTAATGGACACAGATTTCAGTTTGAGATGATGAAAAGGTTTGGAAATAGTAGTGATGTTACACAGCAGTATGAATGTACTTAATGCCACTGAACTGTGTACTTAGAAATAGTTAAAATGATCAATTTTATATTATATATATTTTACCATGATAAACCTAAAAAAATAACTTCTTAATATTCCAGTGTATAAGTATAGTGTTATTGCCTATTTATATGGTTTAGTTATGTTTGTTATAAGAGATAAAGTGTGTATATATATAAATCTCAAATATAATATTATTAGATCAAAAAATATATATAGATGTTTCAATTTCTTGATTTCTTGGTGTCAAATTTCTGGAAAGATGCTATTTTGCCTTTCAACAGTAAATAAATATTTTAGTGAGGATTCAAATCTAAATTTTTATATAGAAATTTTAGGTATATCCATACATCAGGGTAACTCTCACTTCTTCATATAATGTAGATGTGTTTTACTTCTCTTTAAAACATTCTCATTTAAATAGCATCTAGCTTTTTTTTTTTTAAGTCACAGAATGCATCACAAAAAATAAACACTGCAAAAGTGTGACAAGTTTGCCTAATTCCTGATATACAGTATTGTGCTGCATATTGTCGGATGGTATGGATAAGGAAGTCTCATAGGGAAGGTTGTAAATGCTGGCATTGTATTAAATTGATTTTTCTTGGGTTGCCTAGGTGGCTCAGTTGGTTAACCATCTGCCTTCAGCTCAGGTCTTTGTCCAGGGGTCCTGGGATCCAGCCCCGAGTCTGGCTCCCTGCTCAATGGGGAGCCTGCTTCTCCCTCTCTCTTTGCCTCTCTCCCCTGCTTGTGTTCTCTCTTGCTCTTTCTCTCTCGCAAATAAATAAATCTTAGAAGAAATAGATTTTTCTTTATATATTATTAAATGATCCTAAAATAGAAAAAATTATTAATCTAGGGGGAATAGGCTACCTTAGGAATCAAGTTTGCTTTTTAACATTGACATCCTGAGTTTAATTAACAGAAAAATGTTACTTTGCTGTTTCCTCATTATTTGAAGAGCTATAAAAATTTAGAATTTTGCCATAGTGATTACATTCTAAGAAATCACATTGTTTGCTTAGCATATAAGCCTAAGAAGTGAGTTGTAGTCTAATTTCTCTGTCCTAAGAATGGAAAGGGACTTAAATATGTAGCAGTATAGTTGTTGGGTTTTGATTTTTGTTTTGCTTTGTTTTGAGTTTTCATTTGAGAATGAGATTATGGTTAAAATTCACTTGTAAATTAGGGGCGCCTGGGTGGTTTAGTCAGTTTGTTAAGCATCCGATTCTCGATTTCACTCAGGTCATGAGCTCTGGGTTGTGGGATCAAGCCTTGCATGGAACTCTGCCCTCAGCACTGAGTCCGCTTAAGATTCTCTCTCTCCTCTGCCCCTCCCCCGTTCATATTCATGCTTGCTCTCCCTCTCTCTAAATAGATAAATGAAATCTTTTAAATTTTTTTGCTTGTAAACTAAAAACATTTGCTAAGAATTAAGATTCCCTCAACATGGAGGTGGTGATGGGGTTAATATGTGTGCTTTATACATATTTATTTCAAGCAGCATATTCCCATATATGATTTCACTATAGAGCTTCACCAAAAAACAGTGCTCTTTTAAAATTATATTCACAGATATTGAGCCAAGTCCTAGTATGTATTTATTTGGGAAGTTTAAAATTGCCTTAGACATACCTTAGACATACCTCTGATGCCTTAGACGTCATACCACTTTTGCTGAATAATTCCTGAAACATTGGATACTACACATTTTTTAATATGAAAAGGCATCATAGCATCTTGCAGGTCTTTAACTTACTTTATAAATGCTCACCACAGTTGTCTGGGATGATCACCCTAAAGACTGAACCACAAAACAAAAGGAGAAGAAAGGGAGTCCTATTGTGCCTAATGATCTCATTTATGAACTAGACCCTTATTACTGAGCTTGAATTTCAAGTTCATTCTGTTCTCATAAAAATTTTCTTGATGTGCTATACTTATTACACAGTCAGAATAGTGTCAACTCTTGATCTGGATTACTTCTTAATTGCATGTACCTAATGATTTCATCAGATATTCTGCATGTCTAAGTATTTGATTTTATATCTGATCTAGCCAAAATCAGGTTAAGGCTAAACTGTAGAATAACAGACACACACACAAATTACTTTCCTTCTTCCAAGCTAGTGTTAACAAATTGGAAGGGAGTATCTAACTGCATCTTTGCAACAGTATGAAAGAGAATTTCCATTTCTATGCTAGCCCAAGTTGCAAAGGAACTGTCTATCTCGGAAGTACTCAGAACTCTGTCAGACAAAAACAATCTTCTAAATTTTGACTTGGTCTGTTTACTGTTACTCTCTCAGGAAAAAAAAAAACACTTTAGAGTAGAGGAAGTTAATAGAACATAGTAGTATCAAGTGTGGCTAGATCCACCACAAAGTTGCAGAACAGAATAGTTAACATTTCAGAATATCAGTAAGCAGGAGGCCAGAAGAAGGTGTGGTGTTAGGGTGAGGAGAAGGATAGATAATTGGTGGGTAAAACTGTGCTTCAGAAGATTGATAATACCAACTAAAAATAGAATTTGCTCACTTGTTGTGTGCTCTATTAGGAAGTGTTCAAGTGTATATTCCTTAAGGGGGATGCGGTGGCAACTGGAAAAGATATTCACTTACAATATACCTCACACTTAGTAGGACTCATCATAATTAAGAATTTAAATTTAGGACTCTGTCTATGTAAATATATTTGCTGTATGTAAATGTAAATATAATATAAAGCGGACTTTATAAAGCACATTTTTTTAAAACATAAATTGTGTATTGGGTACTACCTCTTAAAATATTCCTATAGGTCAGGGGTCAGCAAACTTTTTAATTCAAGGGCTACAGAGTAAATATTAGGCTTTGTGGGCTATCTGGTCTGTGGCACAACTACTACACCACGAATGAAACCAGGGATGATAAAACAAATGTGCCATTGCTGTGGTCTAATAATACTTAGTTTTTCAAAGTAAGAAGCAAACCAGATTTGGCCATAGGTCATAATTTGCCAACCCTAAACTAAATGGAAAAATCTTAAGCTACCCTGTGCATTTTAGTCTCAATTTTAATACCCTGTGTTCTCTTTGTATAAATTCTCAACATTATTTTAGTTACTTCACGGAAACCAAGGGAAGATGAAAAAGATGGTCAGGCATATAAATTTGTGTCACGGTCTGAGATGGAAGCAGATATCAAAGCTGGAAAATATTTGGAACATGGGGAATATGAAGGAAATCTCTATGGAACCAAAATTGATTCTATTCTTGAAGTTGTCCAAACTGGACGAACTTGTATTTTGGATGTCAACCCACAAGTAAGCTGCTCGAATTCCAAAGCTGTTTTTAAAATTTTAATTCCTGTGGAGTTTTGTTTGGTTTTATTTTCAGATTGTGAGGGTATCTCTTTCTATTACCTGTTTATGCGTCTGCAGCTAGTTAAATAAATCTCTGATCATTCATTAACCAGCAGAGGTTTGGATAGCAATACAACTTGATAGAAGTTTAGTATTTACTTACTTGCTCAAGTAATGTATAAATGCATGTGTTAGGAAATATTAATTTTAAAATTTCAGCAAGCTGCAACATAATCAAGTCGCACCCCTTCTCAACACACGCACACACACACACACACACCATTCTCTTCCTCTCATTTCTTCTCTCAGTGACCCCTTCTCATCCCTCCACACTCAATCCAACTTAACGTCCCTACTCAGAGAGAACTATTAATAGTTTGATATATATCTTTGTCATTTGAGTATGCCTTAAATACAGATATATACCTATATAGTTTTATTAGATTTTTTTGTTTTCTATTTTTCTTTTTTACATAAATAGGAAAATTCTATATAGATTCTTTAGCTTTTTTCCCATTAAACAGTATCTCTTGAAGATCTTTTCATGTCAGTTTTATAGAGCTTTTTAGTTCCTTGTAACTGCTACATAGTGTTTCACAGTACAAATGTATATTAATTTATATAACCATTCTCAATAAACATTGAGATTATTTCTGCTCTTTCAATATTAACAGAATTGTACAAATAACATAGAAAGCATTTACATCACTCTTGATAATTTTTGGATCATTAAGTTCAATACTTTCCTTTGTTCAAGAGGATTAAAGGGTAGTATGACTGAGGTCAGAACATGGTTAATGGATCACTGTTTTAGAAACATACTGTATAGAACCGAAAGGATAGAAGGGGGCAAGTATTAAATTACATCCTTCATCCTTAGTGAGAGGGCAGATAGATTTTTAATAGTTAGCATTTATTATTAATTAAAGGGTAACATAATTCAAATTCTATTCCCATATAAATTGGTTTGTAATTTTTCTTCTACACAGGCCCTGAAAGTGCTGAGGACATCCGAGTTCATGCCCTATGTTGTATTTATTGCTGCTCCAGAACTAGAGACATTACGTGCCATGCACAAGGCAGTGGTGGATGCTGGTATCACTACTAAGCTTTTGACGGTGAGCAGTTCTTTTCAGGCTAACAATATTATTTCACTCCTAAGATTTTTTCTTTTTTCTTTTGGGCATGTTTAATTCTAATCATATTTATGAAATAAATATACCATATGATATACTACAGAATAAAAATCCATTCATGAGATGCAGCTATGATTTGGAACATAAGGCTTTTACTTAAAAATCATTGTTCACTTTATTTTAAAACACAAGTTTAGGGATGCCTGGGTGGCTCAGTCAGTTAAGCATCTGCTTTGGCTCAGGTCATATTCTCAGGGTCCTGAAATCAAGCACCGAATTGGGGTCTCTGCTCAGCAGGGAGGCTCTCCCTCTCCCTCTCTCTCAAATAAGTAAATAAAAATCTTAAAAACACACACACAAGTTTATTCCCCCTATACAAATGAAAGGGAGCAATATTAAAATATGCATATTAATCCACCTCTCATTTTACCAGTGAGGAAATTGGGCTCCAAGACCAATAATAAGTATGTTCATCATAAGGTTTACTACTGGTAGGTAGTTCTGACTTTTAGTTTCTGTTATATTTTCTCTTGTTCTGCCTTTCTCTCTTTTCATATTATTAGAAATTCAGAATACATACAAAAGAGGAAAAAAATGAGCTCCCATATCCCCATCACCTATGTTCAATAATGTGTAGCCATTTCTATTTCACTTAGCCCTCTCTCACTTCCTCCCTAACATGAATTATTTTAAAGCAAATCTTTGATATGTCAACCATAAATACTTCACTATCTATCTCTAAAAGATAAAGACTTTTAAAACCTCATAGTGTTAATCCTCTTTTTTCTTTTTCAGTTTTTTCCATGTCTCTACTTAACTTTTTGAATATCTGAAACATAGCTGTAATAAGTGCTTTCATGTCATCACATACTAATTCTGACATTTGTGTTCTGAATCCGTTTTGGCTTGAATGACTTCTCTTCACACTGGCCATATTTTCTGCTTCTCTTCCTAGTAATTTTTTTATTGGATGCCAGACATTGTGAGCTTCGTTCTAGGATGTACTTGTTTAGAAACAGTTTGTTCCTTTCAGGTATTGCTTTTAACATGTGTTAGGTAAGACCAGAACAATTCTTAATCTGGGGGCAATTATTCTCCATTCCTGAGGCAAGACCATTTGAGGACTCTTCCAAATGGCCTGTACATCGAGGTTTTCTGTTCTTCCTGGTGAGAAGAGGTCCTGTTCCTGACTCCAGTTGAACACTTCTCATTTTTTTCTGGTGGTTCTTTGGTGGTCTCAGGTACATGTACACTGCCCTGATTGGTATACAGCTATATGCTGGAAGAGGGGACCATTTGCTAGTGTCGGAAGTTCTCTCTCCATGCTGCTTTTCTGTTCAGGAATTCTGTCCTGTGAACTCTTGCCACCTTGGTCTCTCTGGGCTCTCAGCTCTGTCCCAACTTGGAATGTTGTATAGGCTCCTTCTGGGCTCTACCTTGTATATTGTGGCCTAGAAAGTCTTTCAAGACAATAAGCTGGGGTTAATAAGTAGGGCTCACTTCATTTGTTTCCTGTTTCTCTGAGATAAATTGGCTTGTTTTTGCCTCGTGCATAAAGTCTTAAAAGCTGTTGTTCCATACATTTTCTGTTTTCATTGTCAGGTAGGAGGGTTAGCCGATATCTGTTAGTACATCTTAGCTGGAAGCAGACATCCCTTTACTTGTCCTAATTTGTAAATTCTCCCCATTTCTCCTCTCTCCTAATTGAGTTGTTCAAAAAAATGGGTTAGGGCATCTGGGTGGCTCAGTTGGTTAAGCATTCAACTCTTGATTTGGGCTCAGTTCATGATCTCGGGTTTGTGAGATCAAGCTTTTGCTCTAATCAAAATAACAACAACAAAACAAAAAACAAAAAAGTTGGGTCAGTTAGGGACGCCTGGGTGGCTCAGTTGGTTAAGCAGCTGCCTTCGGCTCAGGTCATGATCCCAGCGTCCTGGGATCGAGTCCCACATTGGGCTCCTTGTTCTGTGGGGAGCCTGCTTCTCCCTCTGCCTCTGCCTGCCACTCTGTCTGCCTGTGCTCGCTCTCTCTCTTTCTGACAAATAAATAAATAAAATCTTTAAAAAAGAAAAAAAAAAAGTTGGGTCAGTTATCCTACAGAGTGCTTCAAAGTCTAGATCTTGCCAATTTTGTCCCCATGGTGTCATTTCCCTCTATTCCCTGTGAACTGATAGAAGCTTGAACAGGTATAGGTTTACTTATTTTTCCCAAAAATAATTAATTAACTGATACAACTTTCCTTGTTACATTATGAGGCATATGAGAGGCTCTCTTTTTGTGAGATGATTAATCAGTGGGTTCAGATGTTGTGAGCCTGATCTGTAAAGTTCTCTACTAGCTTTTTACCTAATGATTTTGGCAGGTTTTATTCATCTTTGCCTGGATCACATATTTCTTAGGGATTGTAAAATGATAACACCAAAGAGTTTGTCATTCTTTCTGAATTTATAAACTAGAGTTCTAAGAAATAACTTTTCTTCATCAACTAGTAGATCACTCTGAAGTAGAGTTCATATAGGAAAGTCAGAGTATATGTTGATACTTCGATGGGTCAGTTTTCAGAATAATGGGTTTGTTCTGAAAACCCCTAGAAACAACAGGTGATCAAATAAGGTTCATTTTCTTTGTTTTTTAGTTTCATTATGAGCACCTGATGTGAGTTTTTGATGTGGTTACTCTATTATGGTTATTCTTATTGATGCTCAAATTGTCCCATCTTTGACCAGTAGGAGCTTATTCAAGTTGGCCCTTGAGACCTTTTAGTCTCAGCTTCCTTACTATCTGGTATGACAGATGTTCCAGGCTCCTCTTGTACATTTTCTGTTCTAGGCCGGGTATGAGCTGTTTCTTCAAGAAGCTCTGGTTCCTTTTAGAGTAAATGGTATTTTAAGACCATAATACTTAGGGGTGCTCATTGTCACAAGATTGATTCTTGTTTCTAGCTATACCTCTCAGGTAGAGTTAGGATATGTTTTTCTGTTGTATTTCTGAAGGAAACCATTTCATGAATTCATACTGCTATTTCCCATTCAAATTCAGAATTACAGGGTTTTTAGTTAACCTCTTTTAGCTTATTTCCATTCTAAGTACTGAGTATCCCAGTTCTCAAAAACACTGGGAATGTTAGACTTAAAATATGATGTAATTGTTCATTTGCTTTATCCCACAGTACACACAACAGTCTGAGAATAAGTACACCAACACTACCAGGTGTGATTACCATGAACTAGTTTTTTGGTAGGTTGTTTTGTTTTGTTTTGTTTTGTTTTTGTTTTTTTGTCCTTAAGGTTTATCTCACTAAGTATATGCAGTCAAATTGCTGTGTTTTAAAGTCTCTTGGACTACTTCATCTCTGATAATTTAGTTACAACTCTTCTTGGTGTTTAAATTGGCTTATGTTTAGCTTGTGGGAATATTCAGCTTGTCTTCTGAGTTTTTTTTAACACAACCCCACTAATCTTTGATGACTCTTTTCTTCCTAGCTAGATAAGCTGTTCCTGGTTTTCTTACACATTTCTTAGCCCAGACCTGGAGCCAGCCATCCAAAAAACATGGTTCCTTTTAGTGGAAAATGGTATTTAGAGGCAATATAGGTGCTGAAGTTGTGTGATCAACTTAGTTGCTCATTGTTTCTAGGCTTTTTGGTGGCCAGATATAGGAAATACGTTTTTCTTTTTTAGAAAGCACACATCATTTGTTCATTTTGATAATTCTAATTTAAACTTTCCATTATTTTACTTAACTTCTTTGACTCTATGTTTGTGTTTTTTTCTTATGCTGAAAATCTTGGTTCTTGATGACATTAAAATAATTTCTTACTTCACATATATAAACCAAGAACCCACTCTATATAATTTCTGAGTAACAGTATCAATACTGATATCAACAGTATAATTATTGAAAACTCTTAAGTTTCAGGCTTTTAAAAAATTGTTCCTAAGATATATCCCACTGGGTATTATTTTAAAGTCAGTGAAATAATTCCTTTCTGCGTGGTTAAACCATTAACTTGAAACACAGGTCTGTTTCATTTTTCTTTTTTTTAAGTATTGTTCTTTTTTTATTTGAATTTAATTTTGTATAATTCTATACAATTTCATAGTTCTAAAGTAAATCTTAACAGGAAAATCTGGCTTTTCTCTGTCCGCTCCATTCCCACCTACGTAGGTCGTCATTTTAAAAAAATTTTTTTAATATAAGCAAGTATGTATGTGTACCTTCCCTCCCTCATTTCTTACATAAAAAGTAACCTGTCATATTCAGAAGTCTGCCTACATTTTCCACTTATCAGTATATTTAAGATTCGCTGTGGCCATATATAGAGATTCTTTATTCTTTTTTCTATCTGAATGGTGTACTCCACTGTTGTAAAAAAAAGAAAAAACTTTTTTCTTAAATGAAGCAGATTGCTAATGACTGTAATAGTAAAGAATGGTTTCCAAGTTGAACTGAGGCTGTTTGCACATCTATCACAAAAGATATTTTAGTTGTTTCAAATTGATTTAGAGATGTCAGTGAAAATATTAACTGAAATGTTATTAGTGTCCCTCAGGCCTAGTTTGGAATTCATTTCTCTCTCTACACTTCCCTTCTGGTGTTTTCACCAAACTCATTATCTTATATGCCATTGTTACACTGGTTATTCCTAGTTTTTGTATAGGTAACCCAGAATTCAGAGCTCCGACTTGCATAACCCATCACTACTTAGCTCACATCTGCACTTGGCTGTCACCCAAGACATCTTAAACTTAACATGTGCAAAGTAGAACATTGTGTTCCCCCAGCTCCACTCCCCAACTCTGCATTTTCTACAACTGCTTCTTTCTACATTTTGATTTATTCGCCCATTCATTCATTCATCACTTTTCACATTCAGCCCATCAGCCAATCTTGATGACTTTATCACCAAAATATATTTCCGGTCTGCCGTCATATCCATCTCCTATTTCTCCATCACAAGCCAGTGATGTGTTTCTGTTGCATGTGAGTTCTCCACAACCTAGCTCATACTTATCTCAAGGCGTCTCAAGGTACTGCCCTCAGTCCCTCTATCCCTCTGGTCTTTCAGTATCTTAAAACATATCAGGGTCATTTCCCTCCCAGATTTTGCATTGCTTTTTCCTCTGCCTGGAATGCTCTTTCCCACACTATAGTTCTCAGTTTAAATGTCATTTACTCAGTATCTTTGTAATCACTCTATCTAAAATAGAATTCTCAAAATTCTTTGTTCTGGTTGGTTTCTTTTATAGTACTCACTACAACTTGGAAGTTTTTGTGTTTATTTGCCCTTCGTCTGTCTCCTCCTCTGGAGGGTGGGAACCCACTCTGTCTTGTTCATTGTTATGTCCACAGATGATGAAATATAGTAGACAATTTAATAGCAATCAATAAATATTTGACGAACATGTAGAAGTACTGTGAAATTTCAAAACAGTTGCAATTTAATGAAAAGCTTTACTTGCTCATGCAGAACCTATTACTTATTGTTTCCTTATATCATTCCAAAATGACTAGAAATATACAAAATATAAACAGTGCCAGCTAAAGAAAGAAATAAATATGTGTGTATGTGTTGGTGGGGATAGGGAGCATGTAGTTGTCTTCAAAATACATTCCTAATATTCTCTTTCCTGGAGACAGGCAGCAAATTTGGCTTTGAGCTTAATAGGCACTGCAAAATGGTTTCCATGATCTCAGAGCCCATAAGATAAAAGTCTTTCGAGCTCTTTCCACAGTCTTTCTGTGTCGCCCTAATGGTGCACATGAATGTCTTGGCAGATGCTCTCAAGAGCATTAACACTCCTGAAAGGAGAGGCAAACGCTAGGTTCTTATTAGGCTATGCTCCAAAGTCATTAACCAGTTACTAACAGTGATGATGAAGCGTGGTTACATTGGCATATTTGAAATCATTGATGATCACAGAGCTGGGAAAATTGCTGTGAACCTCACAAGCAGGCTAAACAAGTGTGGTGTTTGAATTGGTGTTTGAGCAGATTAGATGTACAACTCAAAGATCTACAAAAATGGCAGAATAATCTGCTCCTGTCCCCTCAGTTTGCTTTCATTGTCCTGACCACCTCAGCTGGCATCCTGGACCATGAAGAAGGAAGACAAAAACACACAGAAGGGAAAATCCTGGGATTCTTTTTCTAGGGGTGTATTACATACATGCAAAGTTAAAAAAAAAAAAAATCATTTGAAAAGGATGATATAGTTGGGCTGGAAACCTGCAATAATTCTTTTATTACCTTAGATTTCACCCTGAGATTATTGTCAGCAGTTGTTTAATTAGGAATCTTATCCTAAGATCAATGAAACAGAAGATACAGAATACTTACAAAGCAAACATGAGCACTGCTAGAAGGACTGGGATATGAACAGGTGGTAATGTCTGTTTTAACACTGTAGAGATTAGATTTTGAGCATTAATATCAGAATCACCATAAAAGTCCCAGTGTGCTTATTTCTTATGTTCACTTTGAATCGGTGTTTGAGCAAGTGAATACACATTATGATAGAAACATTTCCTTTTAACACTCTTTGACAGGACTCTGACTTAAAGAAAACAGTGGACGAAAGTGCACGGATTCAAAGAGCATACAACCACTATTTTGATTTGATCATCGTAAACGACAATCTAGACAAAGCCTTTGAGAAACTACAGACTGCCATAGAGAAGCTGAGAATGGAGCCACAGTGGGTCCCAATCAGCTGGGTTTACTGATGATTCAATAAGGTTCATAATGGAAATAAAACTTTTTAAAAATGACTGCAATAAATAAGCCTTCTACCAAGAAAATACATGCACAGATAGAAGATATCTGCCAAGTTCAGGCATTTTTATTGTGTAGATTGTAATACCAGTACACTATTTGAATTTTTATATAAAATGTGGTTGGGAAGGTGTACTAATATATAATTTATCTTAATTTTTCTAACTTTTTATGGGTAATCTTTCTATTCATACCACATAAAGAAATGCGTTGAAGCATTTTGTATGTTTTGATTTAGTACCCTTGCCTTTTCATCAAAGGAATTTTCAAATCCTTCATTCTCGCATTGGTCTCCCATTTTCACTGTGATAATGAATACTTGAAGTAGTTTTGTAAAGCTGTCCTTTAGTTCAGTATTTAACTAGTGAAAGGTCAGTTACTCTTTATTAGGAGAAAATAGTAATTATTGGCCTTCTTTCCTAATATAAGTTGAAGCAGAACTATAATGTCCATACCTTCCAAGTCTGACATTAGAAGTCTGCTCAACAATACATGGTTTCATTATTTCAAAGATACATGGCTGTCCTTTCTAATTTAAGCAGGTGTATTGTTTTTTTTCCCCTTCATTTCCATCTTGAGGGAAAAAGTGAAGAGCAATACTTTGCACTCTCATTTGTTGCCATTTCAGGCTGATGCTAAGTGAATGTGTACACAGCAAGCAAGGCCTTGTAGGCTAAGAGAGTGCCTTATCCTGTAACACATAACGCAGCAAAATGACGCATAAAGTTGATTTATTTTCACATGTAGAAAATACCGACATTGACAAAAATGAACCTACTGTAGCTTCAACAGTGTTTTATTAGGATATGGTTAGCAAATGTATCATGCCTTTGCAAATTTCTGTGATACTTCAAGTTTGCAAGTGGGGGATTTTGTGAACAATCGGTGTGCTTTTTGAAGTGTGATATGATTGTTAGAATATTTGTTAAATCTGTCTTGTTGAGAACCAGATCCATTGAACAACTTATGAGATCTGGAAATAACTGTCAGCTGTCTTATCTATATATAACATATACATTATATAATATGTACATTGTATGTATTATATAATATAAAATAAGGTTTTATATAGTTTTTACATTTCTGTTAGGAAATGCACTTTTTTGTTTAGTAATTAAGAAAACCGCTCTCTTTTAGATGCATTAACATTCAGATTTTTAAAATTCATCTCAGTTAATAGGATTCTTTAGGATTCTGGATGGTATAAATTCTTCCTCAAACATATTGAGATGTAGCTCATCATTAAACTAAGTTAGCTGTGTTTTATATTGCTGCCAGCTTTTCACAAGGACAGTATTCACACCTCCAGGGTTAGGTGCTTGTGGTCATCTTTGTCCATGGTAGGCATCTGGCTCCTGGCTGTTAAATTTGTTTTCTCCTCAGCAAAGCTGTGACAGAACACCAGCCGGGAGGGCTTCGAGGGGAGAGAAAATACATGGCAATAAGCAGTTATGCACACATTGCTTTAAATCATCTTCACAATAAACAGAACAGCCAAGTTGCTGTATTGTTAAGATTGGAAATGTATAGGTATTTTTTTTATTCTAGAGTTTCATATCCAGAACACAGATCATGTTCTTAGTCCTAGGATAGGGAATTAGTGGTAAAATGGATCACACCCTACCCTTTTAATAACTTTGCTAACTTTTAAACCACATGTATTTACTTCAAATTCTCAGCTTCTCAAAGCAACCTGAATCAAAGCACAGTGTCGAGGTAATGTCTTATGATTTAGTGTTTCAACACTGAAAATTTTAAGAGAAATTTTGTTTCCAAGTTCTCAGGAAATGTTTTGTCTTCTGTGGTGTGCCTTCCTGCTGCTGCACGGAGCCTCTTTGAACAGCTTTGGGATCATTGTAGCAGCACAAGAAGTTTATCCACAAAATATTTCAACTATCGTCACATGATGGAGATGATTTTTACATCATATATATTTTTAGCTTTATCATATGATTTAAAATGCATATTATTTAGAAAATAGTCTATACTTAAAAGGATTATTTCTGTTATGAATGGTATTCATGACTAGTTAATATACTCTAGACCCCCATAATACAAAATAATGCTATTTAGTTTATTTCAGTCTAGATGCCAGAGCTGAAGAGAATAAATTCAGAAAAGTTCATTATATCTCAATAGAATCATTGAACTTGAAACTGAAGTTCCATCTGAGTCTTCAGGACCCAGTAAAGCTCTACTGGGGCAAGGAGTCCCAGAGGCCCCAGGATTCTTTCAAGGCTATGAGAGTACAGTTGTAATCAATGAAGTATGAACTTCTCTTGTGGGAAATATCTAAAATAATTAGATTTACTGAAGAGAAAATGGTTTAAAGTGACGCTAAGCAATTGGTAACAGTTAAAATACACATGCACATGCAAATGCCTTTGGGAAGAAACCTGTGCCAATACATTAATGTACCTGAGGATTCTTTGTGGACTGAAGAGTGTCCACATTCAGCATTCAGGGCATGACTATTTATATATGACTAATTACTATATATATGTATTTTTTATTTTCAAATGTACAAATACCCGTAGAGGTGATGTTCCTGGATAAGTCATGTAACCTTATAACTAGTGGAATATATGTGATGCACTACATGTAATTTTACTTTTATTCCAGCCACGTCTTGATTATGCAGTCTTAATTTCTGTTTGATATTTGGATATTATCAAGTATCTAATACATCAGGACTTTTACTTTTCCCAATTCTTAACTATACAATTGCTGAACATAGCTTTCTAAAATAGAAATCCTATCATAAACACAGTATGACTACAGCAATAGTAGCCTGAGCCCTAGATTCTAGAATCTAGCAAATTTACTTATAATAGCTTATCAGGACAAGTTTTCTGGGAAAGAGCAAATTGGTTATTAACATAAACTTAGGAAAGAATGCAAATTAGCAATAAAATACAATAGTGTAGCATTATAGATTATGGCCAGATACTAACTGCTTTGACCATACTATCCCAATGACAATAAAAGATGATATTTGCTTTAAAAATTCATTAAATTGGTACTTATTGCTGGGCAAAATGATAAGTGTCATAATCTGGTGATTGGAGTTGATTTTCAAGATGGATAGCCATGGAGTTAGGTATGATTATTTTGAACTGATAAATGTTAACTGTAAAAGTTTTGAAAATTGGTCAAAATAGTGGTCTGCTTAACATTGTACTTTTATGACTTCTGAAACAACACTCCATTTTCCAGAAATCACAGGCTAGGGAGCCAATAATTTTGTAGTAATGAATCTTTATACTAAATATGGAGACAGAAATCCTGAACTTTTATGTACATATATAGGTCATTTTTTAAAATGTCTGAGTCACCATATATATATTATATATAGATAGATATATATATACAGCCATATGTATAATATGTAAAATTTTCCAAAGTACATGAATAATAAAACTAAATAGGTTCACCCATGTAATTATAGCTGTGTTCTTAAATATTTACTCCCAAATTCCTAGACATTCTGAAACTTTTTTCACATTGTTTTATAAGGCTCCAGTTTTGAGGCAGATACTAATCTTTCTGAAAAATACGAAATTTAGCTCAGAAAATTATAACAATTTCTTTAAGCAAAAAGGACAGAGTTCTAGATGGCAATGTCTTGGGAAATACTTAATTAAACTTTCAAGTGAATTTGTGATATGGTTCAGGCTTAGAGATTCTGGTAACTGCCCTCCTGTTGTTCCAGTGGATTCGCTGTGGCAATTCATGTAATAACATCTGTAATGTATTTTAAGTTCTTGAGCAAGATTCAGTATTTTAAATAATGGGATTATTGTATATAGTGCAAGTGAATATTCACAGACTTCTAAGAATACAGTCAACTAATAATCAGCAGCATCATTTTTTGAGTATACACTATATATCTTAAGAAGATAACAATTCTGTAATTCCTTAAGATAAGATTATTTTTAAGTTACATTTTTGTTAGCTTCAAGTTTTATTCATTTTTTAAATATGTCCCTTAATTCATTATGTTACTTTTTGTGTACCTGGAATAATTTAGTGCACAGAATCAAAAATGAATCTTTAATACCCTAAAAAGTGAAGGAATGATATCTCATTTCTAAGGTAAGAATTTTGAAGCCTGATTGGTACCACTTCTGCAGTACATTGCACTACTTTCTTTAAAACAATCTCTTTTGTTAAAAATAGAGATGGCGTGCTTCTACTAGCGGAGATCCTAATTCTGACTGTGCGACCTTTAATAAAATTTATATTTTCCTTTACTTTTAATATTCCATCAGTTAAATGAGGCTAGCTTACTATTTGTCTTCACCTTAAGTTACAAGAAGTAATTTGTAACTCTGATGTGATAAATGCTAGGCTGGAAAATCCTTATTAGGCTACTTAATCTATTTATTACATGGATTCACTTCTATTGAGGTTTTTAATCTTTTAGTTTGTTTAAAATGTATCTCTTTCAGAGGTAGCATAATGAATGGTACATACTATTCCAGAATCCTACCTCCAGTTTTAAAACAGCTCCGAGGAGGGTCTGTTCTGCTCTCTTGTGGCCTTGGTCAAGAGGTCCTTTTGAGTTTGGACTCTCAGTCCAAACCTTTAACAAATTGTTGTTACTCACAAATCAAATAAAATATAAGCAATCCAGTATTCTGACATCCAAGACATTCTGATCTTTGGCCTTTAAAGCTGCCCTACCTTAATTCTTATGCCTGAAATTTATCATTGCAGCCTTATTGTTTAACCCATAGTATTAAGTTTAAAAGGCATCTGTTTCTTTGTAGGGAGAACTATTGTTACCTCCAATTAGTGGACCTTGAATTGAACATGAAGACATCTTATTTGCATTCTCTTTCTAATGGCTTCATGGCTGTTGGCTGATAATGCAGTGCTATGATAAATCTGATTTGCCTCCACACACCAAAGTTAGCCAGAAGTGACAGTTCCTTCCCTTTTTTTCCCCTACCAGTTTTTACTAATTACTAGCACAAACCGAATGAACATGTCTACAATGAGCATAAATGCCACTTCGTACTTGGGAAAGTAAATGACTCAGTGCTTGTAAACCTGCCTTGAGTCCCACTGAATAGTATTGTTGTTGCCACAAAGCAGAAGCCAAAAGGTCTTATTTTAAAAGTTGGAACTAGATGTCTTTGGTGCACTTCAGCAACAGTGGGGGGTAGAAACATACAAATATGACAGGCCATACCTGAAATTAGTTTTTCCTCATATCAGTCAAGGTGGCCAAGGAGCTTAGAGGAAGTGGAAAAAAGCAGAGCATTCAAAACTCCTCAGCTATAAATTACCACTGTTTAAGCAGAAGTCATCACCAGTTAAAATATGTGGTCTTCATCTTATTCTGAAAAAAGAGAGGCAGTAGTATAGCAACATTGCTTTGAAGACAATGCTTATTCTGGTAAATATGGTCCAAATGAGGAATGCCTTCACCTTTTCAGGTAGAGCCAGATTTGAGGAATTGCTCGTCTCTACTATAATTTAAGTATAAGATAAATATTCCTTTTGGCTATGTGTTCTTTTAAAAGAACTGCCGACTCCTCTTTCTTTGGTAACATTGATTTTTAAGGAAGTGGGATCTTCGGTTTTGCTGGGGAAGAATGAGCACTTAGGGTTCGGCAACAAGTGTAGTTTTCTGCATGTTGAGTTATTTTAGAGCCCATGGTGAGTATTTGATGTGAAAACCTTGCTTTGGGGATTTTTTTTTTTCCATTTCAGTTTGGTATATCTTTATTTTGAACACAAATGCATGCTCTTTTAAACCTCTAATCTTTGAAATAATTGTAGAACTTTTCTTTCTTAATGGAGGGCAAAATGCTTGTTAGCAATCTAAAAATAAAAGCTGAACAAGCTGCTAAAGTTAACTTTCTGATGAAAAAGTTTAAAAATAAAATTTGCTACTGCTTTCCAAGTAATTGTATTACTAGTTCCTGTATAAAAGAAACATTACTGCTGCCCGTGTATAAATAAAATTTTCTTGCAGTACAATTATTGATTTTTCAGAAACTGTCCCTATAAATTTCTCTTTTCACATATTTCCTGTGTAGTCCAAAACAAAAATTATTGAAATGTTCAACATGTGAGATTGTATATTCCAAGTAAAATATTTTTGTACATATAAAAATAAATATTTAATATTGCAAAAATATAGTGTTTCATTTATAGGTAGAACTGAGGTTTAGAGATGATAAATACAGAGGTTATCAGATTAGCTTTGGTAATTTCTTTTTAAATGCTAGTAATTTTGCAAAAAGCGTGTAATAACATGTAGTTTTTGCCACCAAAATATATAAATTTTTCACCTGCTTCTCTTCTTTAACAAGGAAACCCTAACTGTTGTTTCCTCTATCCCAGCCCAAGCCATTTGGTGGCTTTCAAAGGTGACATACTCAAGGAAAAAATGGCAGAGACAGGGAAGATTAAAATATAGGATCAAGAAAAAGCATCTATGCTTAGATGACATGAGATGCTAGGACAAGTTAGCCAAGCAGGAAAAGCCCTGGTGGGAGATACAGCACCTGCTGTGGCACAGCTCAGTCCTGAGGCCTGCAGTGGAAAAGGGAGGCGGACCCACCAGGCTGGCCAAGAGATGGGAGGCATGACCGTGGGTGAGTGCGGGAAGCTGATGTCCAGAAAAGGTATTTTTGCAACTCTTTCTCAAGCTAAATTTCTGGGATTCCATGCCCAGTACTTCAGAAATTGCTAGTCTAGTGTACTTCTCATGTCTCCCAAAGAATTCGGTTTTAGATTACTCACTTTCATCTTGTACTGTCCGTTTTCTCTCACTACAGTAAAAAACTGCCACAAACTTTGTAGCTTTTTTTTTTAATTTAAGGATTTTTATTTATTTGTTAGAAGCACAAGCAGGGGAGGCAGCAGACAGAGAAGCAGGCTCCCCACTGAGCAGGGAGCTGAATGCAGACACTCAATCCCAGGACCCTGGGATCATGACCTGAGCCAAAGGCAGATGCTTAACCAACTGAGCCACCCAGGTGTCCCAACTTCAGAGCTTTTTTTTTTTTTTTTTTACTCATTTATTTGAGAGAGAGCACAAGCAAGCAGAGAGAGAGGAGGAAGCAGGCTCTCTGCCGAGCAGAGAGCCCGATGCAGGGCTCGATCCCAGGACCCTGAGATCACGACCTGAGCCGAAGACAGAGGCTTTAACCCACTGAGCCACCCAGGCACCCTTCACAGCTTTAAGTACAAACTCAGATGTGCAGGTTGAAAATGCAACGCAGGTCCCACCTAACTGAAATTGAGACCTTTCCCAGGGCCTGCCCTGGCTCTTAATGCTGGAGAGAGAACCTTCCTCCAGGCTCTTGCAGGTTGGCGGCAGATTGCAGTTCCATGCTGTTGTAGAACTGAGGTGTCCGCTTCCTTACTGGCTGTCACATGGACTGCTCTCTTGTTCTTGAAATGACCTCTCTCTCAGAGTCAGCAACAGCACTGAATCCTTCCTGTGCCTCATCTTTTCTGCATTTTCTTTGGCCAAGTCTCTCACTGACTCTTTTGCCCTCTAAGGGCCCACCCAGATAATCCAGGATAATCTCCGTCTCAGGATCTGTCACCTGAAGAACATCTGTAAAGTCCCTTCTTGGTACATAAGGTAACATGTTCACAGGTTCTAGGGATTATTAGATTGTGGACACCTGAGGGACCCTAACAAAAGTGCTTCTTGACTCTTCCTGCATCCACTTGGAAAAAGACGAGTGGTCATGGAAACATTTGAGTGAAGGTGGCTTTCCACTTCTGTTCTGGAAAATACTCTATTTTCTATCTGTTTTCTAGGTATCTGGTCTACCAGAATTTGCTTACAAATGTAAATGTACATTTACAATTAATTGTATGTGGTGATGAAGATACTAGATACTTAGAAGAGCCTTTTGGAAGCCCACTCGAGCATGCCCAGCACTACTTTGCCCACCATGTCACAGTGGGGTCTGCTAAGGCATGGCAATAATTGGGAGGCTGGGGAGACCTGTAGCAGCATATGGCTACATCCTTTTTAATTGCAAATTTTTTAAAAGATTTTATTTGCTAGAGAAAGACACATTGAGAGAACACAAGCAGGGGGAGTGGCAGAGGGAGAAGCAGGCTTCCTGCTGAGTAGGGAGCCTGATGAGGCGCTCCATCCCAAGACCCTGGGATCATGACCTGAGCAGAGGGCGCCCTTAATTCCAAATTTTTAAGACACAGTTCAACAGAGTAACTAGCTGATAGTTGTAGAAATGGCCAAATGCCTTAGCTGTCTATTTGATGTAACCCAAACTTTTTGGCATGTGCTGGGATGGCCTTTTTTCTTTCTGCCTGAAGCTGATCTTTTAGTTTCTGTTGCTTTTGGATTTTTTTTTTTTTTTTGGTTTGGCTTGGCTTTGGTTGGTTGTTTTTTTAAGAGGTTAATATATACAAAATTATAACAGGAATAGAAGGGTAACACCCCAGCGTCTTGTCCCAACTTCTAAATCCTCTCCCCAAAGGAATCACTGTCCAGTTTCTTGTAGACTTTTAAAGGAGCTTCCCACTGCCTTGTGATGTGTAGCTATGTGTTTACACAAGTTGATTCTTAGAAAATCTGCCATCAATTTTTTGTTTATAAAACTTAGAAAGACAAAAAGGCATGTATAGTGCCACCATTGTAGCACAACTATTCACTTTGGCAGATTCCTTTCCAGTTTGTTATAAGGTGCTTTTTCTGTTGTTGCCACACAGTGTGCAACTCTTTTTTTCATGTATTGAAGTATTTCCATAAGATTTAGTCTTATTTTTGAGGTGATGAAAGGGTTATTTTGTTTCATTTCTTCCATGTTAATGTTCATTAAAATCTGAAGAGCAGAAAAGCGAAAAATAGATGATGTTGAGGTTAAAAAAAAAAAAAATATGCTGAGTAACACATTTCTCTTTCAACAACTGCTACTTCTATCCTCCCTGCTCCTAAGGTAAGACTAATTTTAGGAGGAAGTCTTAGCTACTTTTTGCTAAGGAAAAGTGGTTTCAGGTCCCCAGTAGTTAGTGGCAATGGAATCAGAGGCACTAGAGAGACACTTCAAGTTATTTATAGAAGAATTTCAAACAGAATGTAAAATATACACAGTTCCCTTTGATACAGTATGTGGTATTTTAGAAATTAAAAATCGAGAATGCATGGGAAATCAGCATTGTTCTAGACATAGAATTGGTGTGTTCGTCAAAGCATTACAAAAGAAAATGTCTATAGCTAGACCCCTAAGGAAGGGGGTCCTGCTACTAGATTAGTGTAATTTTGTTTAGCAGAGTATATGTACTATAATGGCATTTACAGTTCATTTGTCAATCAGCACATCTATAACACAGACTCTTCTATTAATTGTCTTCCTATAGCATTCACGATTTAAAATGAATTTTTGGATCAAAGTGTCATATTCAGCTGTTTTTGTATAGAAGAAATAAATGGACCCATTTTTTCTGTGAAAAAAAAAAATGCACACTGGCTTAGAATTCTCAACCATCCTCTAGCTCTTCAGATGCTAGAATCTAACTTAGACACTGGGTCACCAGCATAGGCCTTTTATGAAAAACTGTTTATAGAGTACCTAGTGGCTAAACTCAGTAGTATCTTAACAATGCTGGAAAATACCCAGCCTTGGCTGATAACATGTATTTGTAATTCACATATGGTGCTATTAATGTGCTCTGCTTAAAGCACAGAGTCCATTTAGGCTTATATAAAGAATTAGTGGGAAAATGTTAGGGTCCTTCTGGGTGACAACTTTCACAGATGACTGCAGTCTCTCCAGGTTCATGTCAGCTGAGGCAAACAAACGCTGCACAATCATAAACCTTTCCATATCCTTCAGAGGAGCCAAGTCTGGGTTTTCAAGATCAGATATTCCATCATCAGAGAGAGCACGGAGCTGAAATGACACATTTAAGCAAATTCACTTAAAAATGTTACAGATAATCCACATAGCTAAATAATAATGTATTTCTAGATGATTATGGGGAAAAATCAAATTGTTATTGTTCTTTAAATTCCCCAAGTGGTGCAGAAAAATCCTTAAGATGTAACAAGAGCTGTTTCTCCCAGGCCAGGAACTTACACCTGATTTTTTCCAATTTGCCTGGAGTTCTGACTGAATCTCCACTCTGAATTCTACCTTCTATTAGATCCCGTAACTTCAGGAGATGAGAAACTTCAGAATGTAACTTTCCCATAGAAACAGTATGTATGGTTTGATTTTTCTTTTTATTTCTTAAATAGTTGCTTGATCTCCTCAAAAGGGTAGGTACCACTGTTTAGTAATGCTTCCCGCCTAAAGAACCTTTGCCCTTGCTATTCCTACCTGGGACACCCCCTCCAGAGTTCCATGTAAATCCTTTTTTTTCTCATCTCTCATTGTCTTCTGCAATGCCTCTTCAGAAGGGTCTTTCATACTCTCCCTTCTACCCCCATATCCCAGCCACTATTACCCTACTGTCTTTCTGAAACTATCCTCTTGACAGTAACTGTTTAGTCTGTTTTCTAAAACCTAAGCTTTTTAGGAGCCCAGGGCCCTGGTCTGTCATAAGACATGGCCCTCAATGTGCTGAATGAATGTTAGCTCTTCAGAGAGGCCACTTCAGATGCTGCACTAATTGCAAGTTTTCAGAACATTTGAAATTTTGTGACACTTCATTTTTTTTTTACTGGTACTCTCTACATTAATCTCATCTGGTTTTGAATGCCTGGTAAAAATCAAATTGGCTAATCTTTATAGGTTTACTTATTTTTTTTTAATCTTCAGTAATTATAAAGTATGTATGAATTTCAACTGAATCTGAAGGGAATCCAAAAGATTTCCAGAAATGTCCTAAGCAATGCTAACCTTACTAAAAGCTTGCCCCGAAGGGCAGCAGTCACTTGACTATAAAAGTACTTAAGCCTGATAGGTCTACACCATGTAGATTTACCAACTACCACTCACACAGTGTTACCACAGGCTTTACACCAGCCTTTGGCCAAGATCAGAAACTCTCAATTTTGCTTTAGAAAGTGGATTAGGCCGGCTCTCTGGTAGAAGAATCACATCCCAGTAATTTAAGAAGGAACTCCACTAGTGCAGGCTGCCCACAGCAGACTGTGTGGCTGCAGTCCGGGCAGCATCCAGGTTCCTTCTCTGAACAGCTGCCAGCCCCACGTGCCCACGGGCACTTACAGTCACGCAAAGGGTGGTGGGGCAAAATTAACAGCCTCCACTGATGATTCCACCTGATGCTATTCTAAAAGCTTTTCCGAATGGCTCTCGAAGTTACTCTGGGCACCAGACAAGAGAACATAGGAATGCAGGTACATTTGACACCCAAATTCCTCCAGGAGGCAGGAGCCTCACTATCTAGGTCAGATTATGTGAAGATGCCCAGGAAATTGTTTAAAGGAAAATGTTTTCTTTGCCTATGTTAAGCAGCCCTGGAAAAGCAAACGACTCTATGGGTGGGTTGTTTTGTGTCAGTGTAGAATACCAGTCATCCTGGAACTCCAAATGTGTCCTGGCTACTCTAGGACCAACAAAGAAGAACTTGCAAGGAACATGAAGATCAAATCTAATGCTGACTGCAAGGAAGATGACAAGTAAGTGTGAGTTTGTTGGGAAAGGGAATTAGCTAATGTGTTCTTGCGATATTTTGGTAATTTTGTAAATCTTACTAAGGGTAATCTGAGAAATGCTAAGCACTCACCTACTGCCATCCTAATGACCGCACACAGGTAATGGTACTTATTGTCTCCATATCCCAACTATACCACCAGACTTGACCCACAGCTGGCCCCAGAACATACATGCTGGCATGTTTCCAAGTAGTTCAGTTTTAGTGGTCAAAGTATAAGAACCCAGCATTCCTCTGGGTGGGTAGAATCTACTTTCATTTGTGAATGGGTTCCAAACTGTTCCTTAGAATGATGCCTTATTCAGATGTCTTTGCTATGCAAAGAAATACCTAAGGCACTAAGCATGGTGTTAGTGGATGGGTAACAAATTTCAGGATCCTGGCCAGGCATTTAATCTTGACACCTGTTTCCTAGATCTGGGAGCAGAGCTCTGACCTTTGCTCTTTTGAGCCTACAGAGCATATTGGTCTGGGCTCTTAGTAATTAATCCAGCCAGGTGTGCTCAGCTACTCTGCCCCAGGCTGAACAACATCTGCCCATTAGAGTGGCTTCTGGGCAGCCTACTCATGGCTCCTTCTATTAATGACCCAGTTTGTAATTTAAAAAGGAAAAGCTTAATCTTGACTCGCTAGGGTTAAGGTCATCATCACCTAACTCTTGCTCTTGCCATGAAATTTCTTTAGGACATAAAGCTAATGATCTGAGACAAAGCAGTTCTCTCAAATACCTCCTTGGTGAATTAGATGCAGAGCTGAATCAAACCGGTCTAGGCTTAGCACTGCCATTACAAGTAACAGGGTGTCAGGCCCCTTCCCTGCAAAGTTACAACCAAACCTTAGCCAAAATTCGGTCTCAAAACAGTGGGAAAAGCTTGAGATTTAGAATCTAATGAGAGAGTTGGGTCCTAGCTCTGCAAGCAAGATCTTTGTACAAATGCTTTCCTCTCAGCCTCAGTCTTCCTATAGGGTAGGATGTCTGGTGTGATGTGGATGGTGTATAAAAAAAGTCAGGTTAGTAATAATACTTGGCTTAACCTATTTTGAGGGGCTACTGTAGATGAAAAATCTTAAAGGTTGTTAGTGCCCATCCCCACTGAAAATTTCCTTACCAAGTGACACAGCGAAGGAATAATCTGGAGTTTACAGCAAGCACCCAGCAGAGCTCCTGCATTATCTGGCATTTCTGCAGGAGACAAAAATCAGTCAAGGTCCAAAAAACAAAACCAAAAAATCCATGGGAACAGGTCAGCCCCTGAATTGTATCTAATTTATACTTTAGTGCTCTCCCAGCAGAGGACATGCTCAGTAATCACTGAATGAATGAATGGTGCTAAACAGGCAGCAAAGGCCTTTTAGAAAATAGATGTTGGAATAAAGTAACGAGCTCTGTGTTCACTAGAGGATAGTCCTTGACATTTCAGTTTGCCAATCAAGAACTGTACAGACTCTAGAAAAAGCAAATCATATTGAAAAGTAGAACCTATCTTTTCACAAAGGAAAGAAGGAAGCCCCTGCCCCTCCCAAAGTCAAAGGAGGCTTTGAAGGCCAAGAAAGCAATGCTGAAATACATCTATTTTTTTTTTAAGATTTTATTTATTCATTTGAGAGGGAGAGAGAGAGGGAGAAGCAGACTCCCTGCTAAGCAGGGAGCCTGACACAGGACTTGATCCCAGACACCTGACTGAGCCACTCAGGCAACTCCACATGTCATCTACTTTTTGACAGCCCAAATATCTTCAAAAGAGTGCACCCCAGGAGAAACGAGCTTTACCACTATGCCATCATCAAGTTCCCCCTGATTAGTCAGCCATGAAAAAAACAGAAGACAACATACTTATGTTCACTGTGGATATCAAGGCCAACAAGCACCAGATCAAGCAGGCTGTGAAGAAGCTCTATGACATTGACATGGCTAAGGTCAACACCCTGATCAGACCCCAGAGAAAGAAGGTGGCATATGTTCAACTGGCTCCTGACTATGAAGCTTTGGATGTTGCCAACAAAACTGGGATCATCTAAACTGAATCTAGCTGAATTAAAAAAAAAAAAATTTTTTTTATATATATTATATATATAAAAGCTACGATTTGGTGACAAGAGCTGTGTTTGAGCGCTGCTACGAATTTGGGGTGCGACTTTGGGTATACCTCTGTGAGCATGTTTCCTCCTCTGACCAACCATAGTTTGGTTTTTGCAGATGTCAGAGAACAGGGTAAAATATAAAGGGTTCCACTTGGGTCATTAGTCATTTTGGGGAGAAAAATGCAATGTGGGTGGACTAAGGCGTGGCACTGCAGAACCTCCCAGCCCACCACTAGTTCAACACAAGGGGCACCAGTGACAGAAGTAGTTGGTGGAGGGCTGCACCAGAAGGGCCCTGCCAAGTCTCGGGGAAAGGGAATCCAAGTCAATGTTATTCAAAATAGATTTTAAATACCAACCAGGATAAAACAGATGCAGTTTCCAAAAGAACCAAATCCCTCAGGATATAACCTTTGAACTGAGAAGGCAAAAGAGAGGAGAGAGTCACCTGCTACATCATCTGGCCCAGGAACCACTCAAGAACCTGTCTCTTATAAATAGCATGCCACTGAGGTTCTGATCCAGCAGAGTACGATGCAACATAGCCTATTCCCAAGGAAGGAAGTCTGCTAGAGGATGGGGCAGCTCCAGGGAATGATCCTGCTTGAGAATCCCCTAAAATTACATTTAAATATTGTGTGGGCATTTGCCCACAGAAAAGGTCCATAGTCAACAAATTATCAAGGAGGCCCTTATCCCCAGTCAGGAATATGAAGCTGGGAAGTGTCCCCTGGTGGAAGGATCACAGCACTGGAAGGGCAATGACAAAGTCACCTGGGACATGAAGTCCTAGCTGAACCACTGTCACACATCACCTCCACTGTTCATGCTTCCATTCCCTCACTTTTCAGGTGGCTCCTGAGTTCCATGTAATCATCATCCACTCCCCCCCACCACCACCCTTATTCTTGGAAATGTGTTAGTTCCACATTATGCAGATGGTCATTCACTATTTTGAGTATGGTGCTAGGGCCACAAGGATGAAGTAACAGCATCTGCTTTATAGAGCTTACCAACTAATTTTACTACTTTAATTTCCTGCAGGCACGATAATTATTTTTTCCTACCTCAGCACTCTTCCATATTATGACTATGTTTTACAAATGACATCGAGGGAGTTCATGCTTAAGGTCACTAAGTGGTTGAGGTGGTGTTGAGAAAGTGTTCAAGAGACAGGCAAGATGCTGGGGTTGAACTGCTTTAAACAAGGTAAGCATGAAGAGGCTATGTTGGAAGATCCTGAATTCACTTCCAGCTACATACAGAACAATTGCCTTGGAAAACAAAACTACCAGAGCACCTTCTACACATCTGGCAAATAAAACGGACATCTAAGCAAGTAGGAAAGGCTGAGACACAATCTCACCATAAACTCCACCCTTGGCACAGTGACCCACAATTGCAAGGGAACAAAAAAGCTTCTCTCTGAGGAGCAAAGAGTTTGAACCCCACATTTTTAAGACAGGCACTGGAGAGACCAGCTCCCCAGATATCTAGCTTTGAAAGCCGATGGAGCTCCTGTTCTTGAGATCCACAAGGCTATAACAAGCTGAGAAATGGTTCTTAAACGTCTTGCCCATGAACCTATCTGCAAAAAGGCAGCCCTTTGAAAGGTGTCCAGACTCTCTGTGAAAGAGATTTGTTATCTTAAAGCAGCAATCTGGAGGGCAGACCTCTCAAAAGATCAAGGGGCCTGCTGGAGTACACTGTGAGGATGGTGGCCAGTGCTTACCATTTTGCATCCTTCCTCTGCCACACTCCAAGGGAACAGTATCTCCTGGAGGGATGCTATTACACAAGTCTGATGCTCTAGTTTTTAGGCTGCCAGCCAGTGAATACCTCTTGATCACTTGGCTCTGGTGGCTAGCAGGCCTGAGAGCCTGGGCCCTATGGGACTATAACAAATGGAGAGACAGTTCTTGGCTGACTACTACCCGCCCCCCAATCTTTCTGTGATAGAGGCCTACTTGTAGAAGGAGGGGAAGATGGCAGCTGAATAGCAGGACCCAAGGTTTGCCTCATTCCACAAATACAACTAGGTATCTATCGTATCATCCTAAATACCCCAGAAATCTATCTGAAGACTGGCAGAACAAACTCCACAAATAAAGGTAGAGAAAAGGCCACAGCAATCAAGGTAGAAAGGACAGAGATGTGGCTTGGGAGAGAAATGGATTATGGCAAAAGCAGTGAGAAGGGAGCCATGGTCACAGAGAAGGGCAAAAGATATACAGGAGAACACACAGGGAAAACAATTGGCTTGGAAAGCAGAAGGGCTCATATTTTGTGACTCCATGCAACCAGTGGTGCTTAAAGCCGGGAGTTTTAAAGGTTACCGTGCTTGGCTCCGGGAGAGCCTGGAGGACATTGCCTGTCTTCACTCCAAGGGCAGCTGCAAACAGCCTGTGAACATAGAGCCTGGAGACAGGAATGTGAAGGGTACCTAGAGCACATAGTGGGGAGGTTGTTTGCTCATCAGAGAGACAGGGTTCATGGAGAGACCCCCTCCAGGAATATAGGAACTGGCCATCTGTGGGAACCGACACAATGCAAACACTTGGTCTTAATTCATTTACACCAAGCCCTGTGGCCTGGAAGAATTGCCCTTTCCATTCATGCTTGCCTCAGTCTCAGGAGAGTAGGCCCCTCCCCCAGAAGACTGCCCCAAACTCCAGCCAACACTGCGTCTCCGGACTTGCAAGTTTGGAGGCCTCAGTTCCTGTGGCGCAGTGAGAGATCTCATTATATGCAGACAAGAGCACACCTAGGTAAAATGTGCCACATACAAACCAGAGACCAAACCCTGCCCACAATAGGCAAATGACCAGTGTGAAGGATAAAGATACCAGGACACATTGGAGACACTCCCAGAAGTGCTAGGCCATGGGAAACGGGACACAATATACTGTAGCAACTACATGTAGGACCTCTTATTCATAAAGTCATTACCCTCAGGTATAGGAGACAGAACTAACTTTCCTGACACAGAAACAGAGAATCTGTCCAAAATGAAAGAACAAGACATGGCCATGGCCAGAGATCAAAGTGAGACAGATATAATAGCATGCCTAATAAAGAATTTAAAGCAGTGATCAAAGGAATATGCACTGGACTTGAGAAAAGAGTGAAGCACATCAGTGAGACCATTAACACAAGAGAGAAGGAATAACATAGCAGAGATAAAGAGCCCAATAAAGTGAGAAACATGCTTGATGGAATAAACAGCAGGCTAGAAGTATGGGAATTAATGACCTAGAAGACAGTAATCAAGTTGAACAAAATAGGGGGAAAAAAATCCTGCAAAATAAGAACAGACATAGGGAACTCAGTGACTCCATCAAATATAATGATCATATTTTTGAGTCCAAAGAAAGAGACAAGGGGGCAGAAAATTTATTTGAAGAAATAGCAGGAAACTTCCCTAAACCAGGGAAGGAAACATATCTAGGAGGCACAGAGAAACCCCAAAAAAGCAGATTTACACAAAGACATAACTGTAATTAAAATAGGAAAATACAGTGATAATGAAAATGTATTAAAAGTGGTAAGACAAGGAAGAGAGTCATATACAAAGAAAACCCCATAAATTAGCTGTCAGTGGAGTTTTCAGCATAAACTTTCCAAGCCAGAAAGGAGTACCATGATATATTCAAAGTGCTGAATGGGAAAAATGGCATCCAAGAATACTCTGTCTAGCAAGGCTAATATTCAGAGTAGAAGGAGATAGAGTTTCCCAAACAAAAACTATAAAGAGCTCACAACGACTAAACCCTGCAAGAAATATTAAAGGGAACTCTAAGTGGAAAGGAAAGACCAAAAATTATAGTATGAAGGTAGAAAACACAAAAATTGAATATTTTTGTGAAAAATCAGTCAAGGCTTAGTGCCTGGGTGGCTCAGATGGTTAAGCACCTGCCTTCAGCTCAGGTCCTGATCCCGGGGTCCTGGGGTCAAATCCCACATTGGGCTCCCTGTTCCTTAGGGAGCCTGTTTCTCACTCTGCCTCTCTCTCCCTCATGAATAAATAAATATAATCTTTAAAAAAATCAGTCAAGGAACTCACAAAATAAAGGATGTAAAATATGACACCATATACCTAAA